GCCCCCCCCCTTCCAGCAGCTTTCTGCTGTATGCACAAACACTGCTAACTATTGTTAAGAACTTTTGCTTGCATACTGATCATCTGCACGGGGCTGGTAAGAATTCACGTATCCGGTTCGGCCAGACTTGCCAGCATAACACAAATTATGCTATCCTGCGGTGCATTAATCTAGAAGTGCAGCCTATTGCCTCCTCATATAATACAAACAAAACTGCCCGCTGCAGGCGAGCAGTTTGTACTGCCTGCTGCAGGAGAAGTGTCTCCATTCAAAAGTTCAGCTTCTACAAACACCATTTCTGTGGGTAATGGCATGCCCGGCTGCTAACACTCGCTTCCCACATATCGCAGCCAGTTTTAGAGGGGTTCGCTGCACTGCGCTTGCGGCACCGAATATTGTCCTCCTCCAAGGGTAAGACAGTAGAAGGATATCCATTGAATATATGGTATCAGTATAATTAGTCCCAAATAGCACATCTGACTAATTACGCCATGGGGATCAGTATCTGTCCTTGCCTTCGATTGAACAAGACAATGCGATTCTCCACAATGGGGCCCCTTCCTGCCGATGCATGCAGAGCAAGAGCCAAACCTTCTCTACGCGCAACCTTTGTGCTGCTCGTCCTAGTTCTGTAGGCAAATACAGATTTATTTTCTCGATCACCGGAACATTCGCTGTTCTTACGCTTGTTGATGTATTCGGTGCCCGGCGATCTGCGCGGCCAGGCACGCATTTACACTCCATTCATCATTTCCTCAGTTGCTCAAAGCATGGCCCTTACAACTGTTTCAGCTGAATAATTTTACTTATTCTCGTGATCTGTATGGGGTGGAAGTCCGATATCAGCTCATCCTCTACAGCTCCAGAGACTCTGGTGTGCCCAAACCATGCCTGAAGAGGGGACAAGAAAAAAGCGCAGGAATTTTTTTTACTAGAGCTTCGCGATCACCTATACACGCTAACGCTATTGATACAATCGGGGACGCTTCAGCCACCTTTTGCCATTGGCGCCGGAGCCTCTTGCCCCCCGCGCCCATCACTTAGTCGCCTAGCTGGAACGCGTAGGGGTCAGTCAATACTGCAGTGTATTGCCTAGAAGCAAAGGTACTTAAGGCCTTTTTGCTTTAAGGAGGGGTATTACTTGGTTTTAGTTTCTCTGGCTGATTCGAAGCTATACTGGTTCTCGCTGAATTAGCAATGTCGGGAAATTTCTACAAGGGGACTTCCAAGGACCAGACTCCTTTCTTTAAGGACAAGGACAGCCAACTTATCGAGCAAAGGAAAGTAAGCGGTATCCCTTTTGTACGAGCCCAACGCTTTTTGTTGTTCTTGGTCTCCGTATTTCGACACCCTCATAGGTGACAAGTTTTTTCGGTGGACGCTTGTAGTCTCCAGTCTTCACAAAGGAGAGAATTCATTGCGTATCTGGCCGTATTTTGCTTCTTGTAGTGGCCGGCAATATTCGAGCAAGAGGTGGACATGAGCAAGGTGAATGTGGAGGTTATGAAGGCCTGGATCAACCACAAGATCACCGAGCTACTCGGTAGGGTTTGCTGCATAGGGAAACTTTGTGAATTTGGACACTTATAAAACCTATTGAGCAAGAAGCACGTCCAACGCTCAACACCGCGTTACGTTGCAATTTCTTCCCTTGGTCTTGCTCGCTCAGGCTTCGAAGATGACATAGTTATTTCCTACTGCCTTTCGCAGTTGGTGCCCGAGGAAGCTCTCGCAGCTGATGTTGACGAGAGTAAGGCGGGGAATTGGCTGCGCATTGGTATTATTTGCATTCCTATGAATAATTGGTTTCGACTTGCTGTTTGGACGGAAAATGTTTGGGGGTATCTGCCCCCGCGGTAAATTAACCCACGATTCACAACTTTACTCATGGCAGGTTGAAGCGGTGATGCTTGCATGCAGGAAAGAATTACCTGTGTCCCAAGAAGCTTGCAATATCGCTTACTGGATTTGTTGGGAAGCAGGCGACACATTTTGTTCGCGAGCTTTGGAAACTCCTCTTGAGCGCCCAGGTATTAGGGGCCAGTGGCCAAAAGTATCAGTGCTTGCATTTCTTTGTTAAGTTCGCTAGTTTTCACGTAGAAGAAATTGTATGCTGGGGACGTGCAAGATGTAACCTTCCAGAATATGCTGCCTCGTTAAGGCGGTCAGGCAAAACCGTGATAAGTGTTCCTACGGTTCTTTAGCTGTTAGAGCTGCAAGAAACGCAAAAAGGCGTCGCATTCCTGGATGCCCAGCTTCGTTTTGTGTGCAGAATACCCCGACGGGGATACCTCCTGAATTTTTGGAGAACAGAAGGCTGGAGATGGAGAGAAAGAGAGAAGAGGTGAGAAGTCGACTACGGGATGGCTCGGTGTGTACTGTGCACTTCAGCAACGGGGATGGCATTTGTTTTTTGTTGCATATTTGTGCATACCGTATTAAAATTACTGTTTTGACAGGCGGCACGCATAAACGAAGAGCTGGTACGTAGACATGAGCAAATGATGGCCACAGAGTTTAACAAGCAAATCAAACAATTCGCTACCGGAACGGCGCCTCCAAAACCGCCAACGCTTGTAGCATGTACGTTGCGGTCTTGCTCCGTAGCACACTTGGCTTTTCTGAACTGTGCGGCATAATCTTGCAGCAAACCGTGTGACATCGCAGAACTTATAGGTGCGGTAGCACTAGCTTATCTGTGTTTATGTTGTTTTGCATATGCAGACGACACAATTCCAGACACGGGTGGCATGAGAGGTTGGGATAACGACGATGCTCCAGCAGCACGAGCCCGCGCACGTAAGCCAACAATTAGGCGTAGAGCTTAATAAGTGGTGACTTCCCGCGGGGTCGTCTTACTGTAACTTTCGTAAGGGAAATTACCCCTTATTAGGGCTTTGCCGTGGTGTAAAGGAGGGCACGGAAGATATGGGGTTGATTTTGCTGGATATGCATTTTCTCAGCCTCCCATGATCGCAGCAGAAGTCGAAGCCGTTCTCGTTCTGGCGGCAGAAGCCGTCGTACTCGAAGCGACAGACATGAAAGACGGAGAGGCCGCCGGCGGAGCGAGTCCCGCAGCATGTCACGTTCGCCTAGCCGAGGTAAGGGATTGCCAGGTTTTCCACCAAATGCCAGGTTTACCAACAGGCTGACTGACTGATTGTACCCATAGATTTTCGTGGAAGTCCGCTGGACGCTTTACTGCTGGGTGCATATTCACTACAAAAGTAAATCATTGCGCCTTTTCTGAGGTGACACAGGCGGGGAAAGGGATCGTGACCGTAGGCGTGGTCGCTCAAGTGATCGTGACTAAACTACTCCTCAACAGCAGGCCCTTTGGATCAACTGCACTGCCAGAAAGGGCCGTTGGCACGAGTGGAGCTGGAAAAGCCAAGCTGTCAATGCCTATTTGGCTGATCCTTCTGACGGTTAGTTGCCATGCGAGTGGTTTGCGCCTCCACGTTGCGCTCCTGTGGATGTGACCAATAAAATCCTGCGTCAGAGCTGCACGGGTGTCTACAGATGAGGCGTTGGCAGGCACTTGTGGAAAGAATGTTGCTAATCAAGACTTAAATACGCTCTGGTTTACTTCGATCTCTTTATAAGCAGGAAGCTCTCTCTACCCAAGAATTGCAGCCCACCCCATGCTATCACTCGTTTCCGACTGACCATACTGCGCAGCTTGTACTGGCCGGGGACGATCACTGAATAGACACTTCTGGCCTTTAAGAAGGCTGATGGCTCACTTGCGCATTAGTAGCACAAGTTGTCTCATTTGACGCTATTTGTGTTCATAAGCAGGCAATGAATGAGTAATCTGGCTCCGCATGCTGCCGAGAAAGCGAGTATACCCGAGCCTCGACAGGTCCTCCTTGCTGCGTTGTTACTTGGCTGTGCTGGCTATTGCTAGCAATTATGACGCTGAACCAGTGGTTTGTCGCTGTTAGCTGTGTAAACATGTGTTGGTTGGTCAAATTATGGGACTGTAATCCGGGACACAGTCATTTGAGCGCAATCGTACCTTCCCCCGTTTACTTCGCCACAATTAGTCTCAGGCTTCAGGTGTTGAACGACAGAGCCAACGTATGCTAGAAGCATGTTGCTAGGATTTAAGGTTGGAGTTAGAGATTGCTAGGCAATGCAGAACGCAGAATTGGGGCTGCAGCAGGGGACGTAGGTAGGGCATTGTACACACTATAGAGGTATGAACTTTGCCTCCGTAGATGCATCATACATAGGGGTCTGCGTGCTGCATAGCGAATAACTACTTCCTGCTAGCAAACTCTACTGACTGTCTTCCACTTCTGGTGTAGCCAGAAGGTGCCAGCAGAAAGTCCTTGTAAGGGTGCTCGATATATTGGCACATACGTCACTGAGCAAAATTGATAGCTCTAACGCTTTGGGCAATGGCTGTTTACCTCTACGGCTGTCGAGCTCTTCAAAAAGAAGTAGGCCCTCATTCGCTGTCATTGGTAGCCACGGAAATTACTCAAAAAGAGGGAGCAGACCTATCCATTGGACCAGGACTGATCTGGGGTACATCGACGAGGACCACAAATGTGGCATATGGATACATCAGCTCATGCTAGCTACGGGTAGGCAACTATCTCCCAAATTGTTGCGTTAATGTATCATCCTGAAGGGGATTGGGCATGCTTGTCTGCTGGGGTGCTTTCGCAGCAGGATGTCCAGAAGTTGTGCACTTGCTTTCACGGTCCATAAACCCGAGAAACTAGCGCTGGTGAGCTTAGGAACCTCGATAGGCGATGGTGAGTACCTGCTTGGGAAGCTATTCGTTTGGTCCCTTGGAATCCTTCTAGACGTTCGCATTCTCGTCATTCGCCTCCCCTGGTTTGCATGTGGTCTACGAGTTGCAACCTTCATGGGTAGTGGAAAACTTGTACGCGAGAATGGCTGCTTTCAGTCACAACGGCCCATCTCTAACTATATCATCTCGACAGTGAGCATTCCTTTCTCGATCTCGGCGTGTCACTACTGATAATGCGAGTAAAATGGGGAAGAAACTTCGTACACTTCCCCCACACAGCGGCGGCTAGCAGCGACTGCTGCTCCCAGACGCGTCAAGGAGCAGCCTACAAGGAAACCTCATCTTCTCCAAATGGCATATCCCTCGACGACACTTATTATTAGCACATTTATAAATTAAACGTGCTTATGTCGCTTCTTCCGGCTTTCAGATTTCATTGGCAGCCGCCACTGTTGTAGTGCCCGGCATAATACGTGACCGCCTGCACTAAGACATGAATTCCACCTCAGTCCCACCGCTACGAAATTAGTGCTCATTCCTTCCAAAACAGAACTGGACGAGCAGCCAGAGGGACATCATTCTTTTCTTGGCTATCCTTCTCGTCGCTGTGATGCTTCCCAGTCTTATCGTGCGCTCTTGCGCACAACCAACAGCCCTGACTTTTAAGGGGCCAGCACCCAGGATAGGGAATGAAGTTTTCGCACCTCTGATATATACTGTGCGGAATATTGCCACGCACTCTCCTCATCTGCATATACCGTCCCCTCCTCCACGTGAATTTGAACCCGACGGGAGCCCCAAAGTCTACCGCCTCACCCAAACCACGTACAACCATAAGTATGACTGGCAGCGTTGGCATTTGGCTCCAGTGGGCGTCTTCCACACCGTTTATAAGGGGCAGTTTGCAAGGGACAGTCCTGCTCACTAGTAAGCCCAAGAATTGTGCCACAGGCGGACGCCGACTGGATGAACGTTTTTTGGAGCTGTCTGGTGCTGACGTTGCCTCATTGTGCCATTTTCGAAATAAGAATGCATCCTTCTTCCCCATTTGTGGTATGACACATTGTTTTCAGTGCATGGTTGTTGCAGCACAACATGATAGTTGCTTCGGTGCCGCTCCTCTTTTTTTCCTTAAGCGTCGCCTTCATGATCACTACTTTCTCGCTCATCGGTAGGTCTGGGCCAATCTCGCACGCGTGGAAAGGCTATTTCCCTACTTATCGCGTTGACAAGACTAACAACCAGGCGCTGTGGAATGTATCCAGCGTGCGGTAGCGTTTTTCTCGATGAGGCTCCCTGCGCTCCCCTTTCAGGCATCAAACCGAAGCGTTTCACGACAGAGTGGATGCTTGCAAATAAAGAGAGAGAACGGGCAGAAAACAGCAACCCTATGACACGGTATCTAGACAGAAGGCGTAAGGTGAGAAGCGGGTGCGGGCATTCGATATACATACAGCCAATGATGAAGTTATGCTTGTTTCTGCGTGGGCGTGAGAGGGCGGCGTTCGCACTTCTCCCTCAGACCTCATGTGCTGATGCATTCTCAGGAAAGGGGCTCCAACTGGCTCCCAGAGAAGTACTTAATGACACATCCCTTCCTGTCAGTCAAGGCGGAGCGGGCTGCATGAGTAGCTAGCTCGATCTAGACCAAACATATACGACAATAAGCAGCCACAGGCTGTGAATGATTGTGAGCCTTAGCTTGTTCGGCCCACCACAGCAGCCTGTTCGGAAGATTGGAGTCGAACAAGCTCGCCCCCCGATTACTGCACCCGTATTCCCGGGCAGCGGATGAGTGTTGAGGCTCTTGCCGACATGCCAGTAAGTTTTCCATACGTAAAGCCTACGAGGCCGGCCATGTTTCTCGCCCCTTTTAGGTTAAAGCGGGGGTGGATGGAACTTTGGTAGTGAATGCTCTCAGAGTAAACTCTAGAATACCTAATATTTGCTAAGCTAATTATGCCGGCCCCATGGTTAAATGCAGTTTCCTGACCAGCACGTACAAATAGTCTGCTTGCTACAATGTAGAGCGGAGTTGAAATGTAGCCAATACTGAAGCTAGCAAGCCTTCAGTTCACAGGTTCCCAATCTTCCAATTATGAGGCAAGCCCTTTGGCCTTACGGGTGCATGCCGTGCTTAGAGGAAAGCCCCAACGCTGGAGATGAAGGCCTTTGACGCAGGCGCCTACACATAGATGAATACGGTCACAGAGACCCCGTGTACTCCGGGACACACGAAGCTCGTTCAGGCAACGCCAAACAATAATACAAGGTGGCAGCTGTGGTAGACGACGGTATATCAGTTTCAACTGTGGCTTGGTTCAGGCCCGAACGCAAAACTTAGAAATCTTCCAATCCCCTAAAGATCGGTGTTAACCACTTACGCATCTTAATACCACTTGGTAGAAAATATCACCCATCATCGTCAGCTGTAGCGTCCGCTGCATGCTCTTTGATATGCTCAACATGAACTGCATGCGCACGAGAAAAAGCTGGCACTCGCGAAGGATGGCTTGATACGTCTTGCCATGCTAAGTTCGCACTGCTGTACGGAGGTGTAAACTGACGAGATGTTTTGGCCTACGTTGATACTGTTCTCGGTCTATGCGCATGTGCAGCTCTTCGAGAGAGAAGCCGTCGCTAGGGAGCCTCCAGATTCAATGCGAAACAGCCACAGAATTACAGACAAATTGTTGTAGACGAGAATAATCAATCTATAAATCTCCAGAATTTCTGCAATATGGTGAACAGTGGGGATACGCACGTGGTCTCACCTGAACTTCTTGCCATTGTTTAGTTCGATGTGGACTTCCGATGGCGCCTCATACCTGGAGCAACGAAGGAAAAGACGGGTGTCACCTACATATACTAGGCGCACAGAGAATTGGCCAGACATGTGGAATGCTGAATGGCCAATAAACTCATTCTGATCTGCCATCCTGCTGCCTATTCCTGCCTCATAGAAGTCACGCAAACCACATCGATCCACCTGAGGCATCCAACCCCTTCCATACAACCGATAACTACATTAGGGAGAACATGAACCTACCCTAGAAACTCGACGCGTGACTTTAGGCCTGGAAATTTCTTTTGCACCTTGCTGCTGTGCAGAATCCAGGCGAGCTGTCTGCAACCTTCAGAGGCCGCCCGGCCTGGGTGCAGGCGCACGCGAACTTCCTTCACATGGGAAAAAAGAGACAAGGACGGGAACAATTGCCATTTGGGCATACTAAATGGAAGTAACCAGGCGTCGTCACAATGTGCTCGACGGCACTCCTACAGACCGAGCAAAACGCCTCCTGTCTCTGTGATTGCACCACTATCCAGAAGTTATAACAAAAAAATATGGATTGATGGTTGTGGAATTATCATATCCAGGAGACCTTTCTAGACTTTGGCAGTGGAATACTGGTGGCGGCTGAGGGCTTCTTTGGGGCTGGGGGGTTGTTATTCGTTGCCCGATGAGTAGCCCAAAGACGGAGGAAAATGCTGCTTTTTTCGCTGGTGTAAAACATCCAAACTTTTCGCAAGGCTCATTTGGCTCGTCTCTTGGTACGGTGTTCCCTTAACAACTGATCGTGACCCGCCTGGTTGGGACAGTTTGGCGGGTGCACAATTTTTTTTGACCGCAGGTCTTAGTAGTGCTCACCTCTGCAGCCTACACAGTTGGTAATCTTGGGTGTATTAACCTGCGCGAGTATCCAGCGCAACGGAAAGGCGGACCCAGAAATGGCAGGCGCGCGTGGCGTTGCACGGTTATAACATTCTGCCCGTGTACGACGACAAACTGTGTTCTGCCTATGCTACCTATGCTGAATCAAATAGAAACGGGTGCCGCCACAATTTGGCTAGAAACAAAGTATCCAGACTAGCTGGATGTGCGGTGAAGTGCTGTTAAAGCTTGTGACCGCTGGGCTTGAACGGCAGCGCAGCCGCCATGATGGCTCGAAGTCTTCTAGGCATCGTTCGATCCTTGAATCCGGGGCAACACCAAAAAAGACCCTCTGGGACTCTTGCGGTTGGCCGCACCATACGGTTGGTTTCCCTTCTTTTCCTGCTGAAGGCCTGCGTATTGGCAATGGAAGACATGCCAGATATTTTGCAACCAACAGGCACTTCAGGTTTAGCTGTGGGTCAAGACCATGCAAGCTTTGGTGCAATGGGAGACGAAGGGATGGCCACCAATTACTTTTTTAACCCTTCACATGCATTCTGGAAACCACTAAGCAGCTTTCCATCGGCGTCTTTCCCCCCCTACGACTTGGGCCATCATCCTCATCACCCCCACCGAATTATATACGCTTCGTGCAACAGACAACCAGAAGGCGAGTTCAGGGGACGAGAGTGTAAACGTGGTTGGGTGCGTCAAAATGATAGTTCGATTGTACCCAACAAGCACAAAAGTCCTGTGTGGCATCTTTTTCAGGGCTGGATGCGAAACATGACATTGAAGGGCGCCGAGTATGGAAATATATCCGCCGTCGAAAGCCCCATGCTTTTCTTTGGATGGGGGACAATGTATATGGTAGCGCTTGCCTTTTGTTGCCTTACAGTTGCTGAGACAGTTTCACACAAGCAGTCGCTGCAGCCTCGCCCAACGTACTTTAGCTGTGCCACATTTGCATTTGCAGCTACTGCAGCTACTGCTTAGGAAATGTGACGGGTGCATACGCATGCATACAGCGGACCATATGCAACTTCCAACTGCAAGCGATTCTCGAAACTTCTTGTGGAAGCTTTCAGAGGGGAAGAAACCAATTCCGCCACCTGGCCTCATCGCAGCATACAGCAGCCAACTTGCAAATAGGGATTACACGGTGAGAAGACGCAAACATTATTGTCTCAAGGGATATTTCGATTTTCACTTTTAACTTGCGCGACACCTGCGGTCTCAGTGCTGGTTCTTCATTCCGCTCAGGAATTCTTGGAGCAAGTTCCCAGGATTGCAGGAACTTGGGATGACCATGACATGGGAGAAGACAATGCAAACAAAATGTACACATTTAAACATGGTATGCAGCCGTTGCTTTGTCTGCTACTGTTGCCAACACGTTTTAGTCTCTGCTGGGTTCCATTCCCAACTATGGGGTTCGCCTCCATTGATTCTTTGTCACTTCGCGGGGAAATCAACTTAAGGTTTGTGTCTGTGGTACTGCAAAAGAGTCAAAGGAAGCTTTGCTTAATTTTTTGGGCGTGGACAAGAGTGCGGCAATTCGATCGCTGGATTGGGAGGGCGTATACTCGTCTCACGAAATTTTTATCGGCGAAGATCTGAATGTCAAGGTGATTTTTCTTGATTTGCGGTGAGTGGTTGGTTGGTCAAGAGCTGCACTAGGAGGTGTCGCTTCTTAGATTTTGCTCATGATTATTGCTCATCGTAGAGAAGTAGGCATTCCGCCTTCACAGATACCTCGTTTGTGCATGTGGACATAGATTCGAAAAAGATAGCTGGTGGCTTATGGACATGGGAGACATGCTGGGCGAGCAGCAGTGGGCATGGCTGCAACAGGAGCTGCAGTCCTCAGCAGCAGACGTGAATGTAGTAGTCTCGTCACTGCAGGCATTCGCCAACCACAGGCAAGGCGCTGTGATAGAAAAAGCTTGTTAATAGGAGAAAGTGCACGCGCATTTGGTGGTAGCCGTCGGTGTCTACAAGCTTTGCTGTTCGTTTTCTCGGTTGCGATCATGCGGGAACATACGTGTTTCGCCGCTTGGATTAGCTTAAGTTCCCTGGGATATTTTTAGTTGGCTCCCTATTTGCTGTGCAATTGTTGGCATGGCGTCTACTGTGCATCAGGTATTCCTTCATCTTTGTTGACTTTGAAGGAACGTTCTTGTCCGGCATTTGTGTGTGTCCCTATGTGTGCATTTCTTAGATTGGTGACAGAGACATGGAGCCACTTTCCGTGGGCACGGGAGCGGCTTTTTGCGTTGCTAGCGGGTTCCGGAGCGAGAACACCTATCATACTCTCAGGTGACACACACTTTGCAGAGTTCGCAGGTACGCCTGAAACTGGGAAGGATGTAGTTTCCAGGTTCCGAAGGGTAGTGACCAAGAATTATGTACAACCATTGTTAGGAAAAGGTGGGTCACAACTCTTTAATGTTTTGCCACAGCAATGCATTGCCAGCGCCTTCCAGAAGATTGGTGCTTGAATGAGCCAGAGGTCCAGAGTTACTTGACCACTTTTCAGAGTCGTAGAGCTGGGAAAATGACTCCACTTCAGCAGGTCCGGCGGCTTGCAGACCCAGATTCCGACGAACTCAGAATAGATGTAGAGAGTGGGCAAATGGAAGCAACGAACGCCGACAACGAGTGCGATTCCTCAGTGCAATGCTGCACCCTGCCGCCTACTCAGTCCCACCTCTTTTGGTGGATTCCTCGACACCTCCCATTCTTTCTGTTAGCGCTTTTCCGCGCTGCAGCTAAGCCAAATGCCTTTGCTCCAAGGCAAGAATGGAGGCGACAACGGGCCCCAGCTTACCAGGGGGCCTTTCCGCCACCACCATTTGCTGGTGATCAGCCCCCAGAAAGGGGATGGTTGAGGGAAGATAGATCGAGTGTGTACCTCTTCGATATGACGAGCAGCGGCTTAGGCCATGGTGTACCAGAGTCGATGTGCCGAGCGGCTCCGGCAATGGTCGAGCTTGCTTCTTACTTCCTTACTGAGGGGGTTCCCTTTGCATCTTCCCTGAATGCAGACATGACAGGTACTTTATTCCTGCTGTTTTAGCATATCTGGACGACAACAAATGCACGTATGTATCCTTTTCCTGGGTTTGAATAGTGGAAGCATTATTGTCTCTGATTCAGGCCCTCGTTTGCTGTACACGGAGCGCAATTTTGGGGAACTCGAATTCATCGAGAACCCCTTGCAACTGGTATTATTTCAATCGACGAAGGAAATTCCCCGTGGTGAAGTATGGAGGCAAGAATATTTACAGCGACTGTCAAAGGGCAACAGCACATGGGGTGTTCAACTTCGTCGTGTCCGAGAGAAGATCGAAGCAATGCGCCGTCTCTATCGTCAGCTGCAGCAGAAGCGAGCACTTGGCTTTCATCGGCAGCTTACTCGCGACCAAGCCTCAAAGTTCCGTAGCCGATTAGAAGCTTACAAGGAACATCGGGAGCGCCTTCTCAATGAGTTGATATCGAGGCCAGCACAGGAGCTGCCCATCGTGGGACGTATTACAGCGCTGTCACGCGAATTTGAAGCCTTCACGGAAACAGTGCTTGGAGGGAATGCAATATTTTTTTCAAGATTGCTCCAGCTGCACTCTGCCCTGCTTTTGGCGCACGCTTGTGATGGCGAGGACGTTGGGCATTCGGGAAATCGTTCGTCTTCTCGAAGCCACTTGCTATTCAGTTCTTGCAGCTTGCTAACTCCTTGGGAATCGATTGTTCGTCCGCCGGATGTTGAGTCTTTTGTAAATGCAACTCTCCGGAGGTTGTGGGATCGAATATTTGACTTGACGTCCCGCCGAGAGGCCTTTGGTAGGGCTCTCCCGTTTGGTGATGTAGCAGTTTTGCGTCTTAGCGCTGCAGCTGATCAGTTAGTACGGATGGCTGCAACGGCGCGGGCTGCGGGCATTGCTAGGTTAGCAGAGTCAAGGCGGTTGCTTCCAAGTAAACTCATCACCAGTCGCCTGCGTGAGCATGAATGGTTACATCTGACGAGGACCAAGAGAAACCGAACAGACGGGCGGATGCACCTACTGGATGTTTTATCTGCAGCAAGCGATAGGCTGCTGCGGCAGGCGTGCTTGCAATTGCAGAGCCCTCGACGCCAACAGCAGCGCGAAGAAGTGGAACAGCTTTTTCAGCGGGGAGTGGCAAGCCAGCCAGCTGACCCGTCCGTTTTCGCAGACCTAGGCTCCAACCTTCATATGGTGTGTTCTTTAGTTAATATCCCCGCATTGAGCCACCCAAGCAAGCTGCCACCAACACGTTCTACTGCGCCAAATGCTGCATATGTTGCTGTTAACCATATGGCTGGTGCGGTGGCGGACAGTTGGGTGCTGGTGGAGTTGCTGGAAACCAAAACGTGGATCCTGTCCAGGACGTTCGACGCGGTAACAGGGCGCCTTGCGAAAGAGAAGCTCCTCTCCTCGTTTGCATCTGAACAGCGGCAGCAGCAGCTTGGTATTGGCCAATGGACATGCCAAGGATGGAAAGGTCCCTCCGAAAGTCAAATGTACCTGTGCCACCTCTGCATCCTCGGTGCGTCGCTGCTTGTCCTGGGAGCCATAATTCTCATTGCTGTTGTTACTCTATTTTTCGCCTTCAGAGCAACTATGCTGGTTCTAGCTAGCCTGGTACAACACCGCCGCAGCTGCATCGGCGAATATCGCAGTAGCAGCTCTGGAGGGCAGCACAGGAAGCCTCCGCTGCGTGGCAAGATTCTAACGCCCATGGGGGCAGCCCTTGCTGGAGGATTCATGACGATGAAATCGGGTGCAGTCGTCAGCCCTCTTGCGTAGGGAGAATTTGGACAGGCCGCCAAACTTATGAGATTAATGAACTCCGTGGCAGGACGGAATAATTCATGTCGGCGTTAAATGGCCATACATATTTTGTTCGGCAGCCGATGGCAGCTTCATATCTAGGCCTTCCTGACCGCCTTCCCTTCACCACTTCCATTTCCTCAGGTTGAAATTCAACAGCAGTTTTGGAATAGCGATGTAAGATGCATGCGTGTACCCGCAGTGGACAACCATATTTGGACTGTGGCTCTTTTGCTTGGGCGCCTGCTGCTACACGCTGACTACAGCGACAGTAGTGAGCGATAAACTACGAATTGAGCACAGCAGCTTGCGCCACATGTATATACAGGCTTCAAATGCAACGGAGCCTGAGGGATGGCAATACGATTATGATTTCCCATTGAAGCATCGTTGCATTTCGTCGTCGCATCGTCCAGTTTGCGTAATCAGCAGGCCAAATTGCATTTGGCGGAAGCTGTCCCAAACAGAAGTTGGACTTGTGAAGCAAACGCTATTTTGTGCCTTTAGACGTGCAGGAAGGCACAACGCAAAAGACTTCACGAAGTTCTATATTGAAAACTATTCACACAATACCAATTCACAGCATGGAGCATCCAACAGCGTAATTAGTGCCCTGGCCGCTCAGCTGTGCCCTCGAAAAGCACTTAGCCAACGAAGGAGCATAAACAGTTATTGCTGGTGTTCCATTGGGTACACACTCCTCCCTTGCTTCTCAGACACCACCAAGCAAGTACTGTTTCCCCGTACATGATGTGAAAATTGGTCAACTGGACTGAAGGCGGAGCTTCGCGCAAAGGTCATGGGCAACTCAACGTACGAAACAACGTTCGTTTGGCACGATGTCACGACTACAGTGCTTTCGGAGGGTGTCGGTTACCTAACGGGACGACGAGTTCAAGTCAATTTAGGATAAAAGGCATGCACACCTAATACAGCATCGCTCCGGGAGTTCCTGGTCCGCACAAATTGATGGTTTCCAGAGCCCTTTCCAAGTCCTGCAGTGCAGCAAATACTTTGGGAGTTCCCGCAAAGGACAAAACGCGGCGCTCAACCGGATTAAGTCCCTTCAAACCATCAGGGGCAGTAGCACTTGCTAGCCGCCGCATGCAAGCTCCAAAGGCCTCAACGTGGATTTGTATGCGGCTCAACTCCTCCAAAGCCTTGAAAGCAAATGAGCTTTGCCCCTGGATCTGTTGAGCGGTCGTTTCATTATTTTGAGTGACCCGTACTGCCTCAAGCACTTCCCCATCATGATGATCTCCGACACTTTTCACACATGTGGATGATTGCAGCGACAAAGGGAGTCCCTGAATGAAAAATGCAGCAGGACAGGACGCAACAACCGTACATCCCATTTCCCATTTCCCATTTCCCCCCCCCCC